TTGTTGCTTCTACTGTTGTTGTTGCTGTTGTTGTTTTCATCTATTTTTGTCGTTTTGAATGTTGTACTTGATTCATACTGTTATTCCTTGAGGCAAACACTTCCCACACCATCAAACACAGATCATACTGTCAAGATATATCTTCCTATTGAAAAATATAACGATTTTACCACTTGAAATATCAAGTTTAATCCTCACCATACATAATCTTTTCAATAATAATGTGGCAAGTGTTGGAAGTCTACAATCAGCTCKGTGATGGATATAAGATGCGATGACTGTGACCAGATGGCTTTGAGATGAGCTTGCACTGTACACACTAGAAGAATCTTTAAACTGATGGATTACTTGGGTAGATAGGGCTTGCTCCAAGGGAGATATCTCTTCATCCTACGAGAAACAAAAATCACTAAAAATACTTCTAATACTCAAGGTGTAAACTCACTGAATTTCATTCGTTTGTTTGTTACCTCGTTGGCCTGTAGTATGTGCTTTTAGCTTATTTGTTTGTTGTTTCGATACAACTCCAAGGTTTTTAATACAATGGTTCGCTTTCTTGATTCTTTTTGTGTTTGTTTTGCTGTTTGTTCAGTCGTTTGTTTGTTTATTTGTTTGTTTATTTGTTTGTTTGCTTGTTTTTTGTTTGCTTCAGCTAGGTAGCATTAAGGCCGGTTTAGACGGTACGATTTTCGCCTACAACTTTTATATACAACACGCTCGCGTCTGGCGTATGCGAGTTGTAGGCTTGATTTACACGCTAAGACTCGAGTTGTAGGGTGGCGCGAGCGTGTTGTATACGATAGTTGTARGCGAAAATCGTACCGTCTAAACCGGCCTTTAGAACGTCACAAGATTCAATTCACCTTGTGTTTTGTRGCCAGCAGTTTGTTAAGAACAGAGAAAGCGAGTTTGATTAACTGAACAACAGCTAAAGCATGACTACCAGTAGCCCTAGAAAACAAGATTACAACAAAACAGAAAATGAAGGAAATAGTATAGGAAAAAATACATGGTTGGTGAAGTGGGAAGAGTGCTTACAACCTCTCAGCACTGCAACACACGATACCGGCGCTCATCAAGTGTGAGGACAGTTGCTTGTTGGTTCTCTCCTGTGCTTCGAGAGGTTTTCTCTAGGTTTTCCTTCCTCAACAATTATCAGAATTGAAATTTCAATTGGATTCATTGGATGGGAGCCACACTTTGAAAATGCCAATGATATGCAGAATTAACGACCGAGAAACTGCCAACTGAAGAAGCGAAATACGACTGGACAGACGATAAGAGAGAGATATAGTGGTGTGTTTTGATTACGTACCCTCCAACAGAGATGAGTCTATCTACAGTATCCACACCCGTACCCAGGATGTAAAGTAACGACTGTCCTGCTGCTGTGTTTAGTAAACTAAATGCAAGAACATCTTGAAGGACTAATGCCGACCTGAGGAAAAGACTTGCAATTAGTAAGAAAGATATTACAAAAATAGTGGCAATGTACTATACATGTGCTTTGTCAATGAACTCGTCATCCAGGGGCCTCGGAGCGGCCCAAAGAGTGAGGGGGCTAGCGACCTGCGAAGGCGGTTTCAAGCTATATTTTACAATCTTAAACTCTCCAGACGCGCTTTCCATCGTTCTGAGGCAGTATTTTAGCACAAACATTCCTATTCTCTTATCTTTGTGTCTATACGTGTTGCAGCACCATTTTGATTTTTTT